GAAAAAAAAAACTGGAATTAAAAGAGCCAAGGGGGGGGGGGGGAAGGCAGCTGTAGTGTGGTGTTGCTACTGGAAGCAAAAGTGAATCATTATCACTGCACCTATTATTTCAGTAGATGCTTGTCTCCAAAGTGTTTCAGAGGGTGCTTCTGTGGCATGTTCCCATTTTTCCATTCTCAGATTCAGAGCTCAGAAGAATCAGTTTGTAGATTAAACAGCAGTACATAAGGAGAGACATTTTTGCTGAAACAGTAGTGCAGGAGACAAGGGAGAAAGGGTAAAAAAAATGGAAGGAAAAGATTAAAAAAAAAATGCTCCTTTCCAAGTTGCATGGCAGCCATTTCCCTTTGTTCCTGATGCACAGGGAATGTTCACATTGGTAGAACAAATCAGGGAGGGGTTGGAGATGTATTGTATATGCACCAGTAGCAATGCTCTGGGGGAAGGTGCTAAGGAGAAAGTGAAGTTCTATTCATTATATAGTAGGGGTAGAAAGGTTCTCCATCCATCAGTGAAGAAATCGAATGCTCATTTTCTGCTCTACATCCACCTTCTCCAAAACCTGCAATAAAATTCAGAAACAGCTACTTAAGTTACTGTACATAATTCTCTCCTACAAGGTTTCTTACTCTAGTGTAGAGGAAATGAGCAGGAACATGGGATGTCTTCAATTTGGCATGCCAGTCTTTCATCTAGAGACTGCTATTTTTCATTCTAGACTAAGGTCCTTCCAAGGAAAGAAACTTCAGCCATTAAAGCTGGAAGAAGGCTGTCAACCAAAATGTAACTAATGCAGTTTCAGTCTGCCAACAGCCCAGAAAGGCTTGGATTCCCAAAATTAGATTGTGTGGGAATGCATGGCCAGGAAACAGAAGGGAGAATGGAGTAGAGGAAGGTGCATGAGCAGTCGCTGAAGAGCTAAAATCAAAACCACAGCATTACTAACGCTAATCATTGTAAAACTGGGGTAGCAACTTCATTCACTGAATTGCTATTAACACTGAGGTAAAAAGACATTTGTCTGCTGCAGGCTGTTTCACACAGTAAACTTCAGTGTTCCAAGATCAGAGTAATTTAAGTCTGAAGAGACCTCTGGAGGTCTTTTAGTTCAACTCCCTCAACTCCTGCTTAAAAAGCAGGGCCAGCTAGATCAGGGTCTTGTCCAATTAAGTTTTAAATATCTCCAAGGAAGGAGGTTCTACATCTTCAGCACCTATGATCATCCTCTTGGTAAAAAGTTTTCCTTACAGCTAACCAGAATTTCCCATGTTGCAACTTGTTTCTGTTGCCTCTTGTCCTGTCTTTGTCCACCTCCAAGATGAGTCTGGTTCCTCTTGTCAATACCATCCCATTAGGTAGTTGAAATTGTTCTGCTATAGGACAACTTTCTCCACTGACTATATCGTGGCTCCTTACTATTACCTATTTCTGACTAAAAAAAGATTTAATTCAAAGGACTAGAGCTAGGAACTTGAATACCGATATTAGTTGTGTTGCTAATGGATAAAATCTACAAGTGAAAACTGATCAGCACAATTATAGCAGAAGAATTACTCTGTTGTAACTGTACTAGTCAGGCTACTTGTATACAAAGAAGTGGTTGCGAAAGAAAAAAGTGAAAATTCTGCAGTATATTCAGGGCTGTAGCTTATGTGAGAGTATGAAGAAACATATGGACTAATTATTAGTATCCTGACAGTATAAAAAAAAAGTCCTGATAAAGAAAGGAAGAAAAAGAGCTAGCAGAAGGCTTGCTTTGCCCAAATGCGGGCAGGCAGGCCTATTTGAACGACTTCCTCTCTGTTTCCATTTGCATTTAAGTCTGAATGACTTGCCCATCACTGAGCAGTTTCATTTCATCGTTGAAAATGTAGTTTACCAACCTTTACAAACTCTGCAAAGGAGATGGCACTATCCCCATCCTGATCAGCTTCCTGGATTGTCCTGTCAGCAATGCTGCCCAGCTGCTCATCCGAAATGTTTACACCAACCATCATCCGTAATACCTGTAACATACAGAAGTCCCCAGATTTTTATTTTTTTTTAAACAACCCCCCCCCCATTATTGACATAGGAACAGAAGTATTCTTAGTGCTGTTTTTCTCGTGTATACTGTCAAAATAACACCATACAAGAACAACCCTGGAGAATTTCCATGGAAGTCATTTCTAGACAAACTTCTATTCGTCCTTTGTACATCAAGGCTTTCAGGAAAGACAGCTTCCTTTTGTAGCCACCTTTGACAAAGAATCCTGCTTTTTCACTAGACAGCAGGAAGAGATAGAAGTGTGAGAAAGCTTTCGGAACTAGGAATGAGTACATTTTGTTCCAATGCTTTTGTCTATTTTTTCCCCACAAAACATACCAACATTTGATTGAATATCTGCTGTTTGAGATAGTTGCCTACAGGAATCTTGTAAGTATATAGTCAAACGGTAACTGCCACTACTCTCTGCAGTCAGTAAAGCATTTTCTGTGCAGATAGAAGAGGGCAGTTTCAGTCAAAAGCAAATCATTGTCCTACATCAGGAACCACAAACTGCCATGTCTACTTCCCAGAATTAGTAGTATGTAATTACTCCTAGCTCAAGCCTAGTTTCATATATATATGCAGCACTGATGAACTTTGATTACCTTTGCTGCAATTTCAAGTTGTTTTATTCTATTGAGAGGATGCACAGAGGATCAGGCAAACAACCTAATCCACCTCAAGGATTGTCCTTGTGAAGTCCTGTTAGAAGCACCTTTGAAAGTTAGAGAAGGTAGTTCTTAAGGGGCTTAGTGTATTTGTCGGATATTTAGGTATCATTTCCAATAGGATCTGCTTAGCCTAACGCTCTGGTTTAAATTTGAATCTAGCATTCCCAGTCTGACAGAACAGCCTGGGCTACCAAATGAGATTGAAGTCTCATACTATATCTAAAGCTTTAAACCAGAGATAAGCAGTTAGCCACCAAATTCCTTCAGGAGTTCTTTTGAGAAGACTGTTTTAACTCCCCTCTTCATTCTAAATGGGTGTGAAGTCACAGAGAAGATCATGATGGAGTCATTCAAAGCAGCCCTGTGCTATTTACCTGAAGAAGCTCATCCCTGGAAATCTTGTCATCTTTATCTAGATCATATAACCGAAAAGCAACTACAGGGAAGAAAAGAACGAGCAGCTTAATTCAAGTGCCATTATTTTTCTTCGTAACAATACATTCATCTAAGAAAAATAATAGTAGGTATTCATAAATCATTTTAAGAGAATTAGCTTAGAATTTTAATTCACCATAAAATTCATGTTCAGTTCCATAAAGTGTTATTACCGCATACAGGCATAACATTATTGCCAAGAAGTGAAAAATCTTACTTAAATACTCAGTATGAGTACTTTCAGAAGCACTTTGCTTGCAGAGGTATTTTTCAAAGCCCTGAGTCATGGAAGTATAATTACCACTAAGATACATTCAATCCTTTAACTTCGGAGCCAACCATTTTTACGTTACCATTCATTCTCTTTGACTATATTCTGGATCAGATATGACAGAAGTTTTAGGTGCTCTGAGGACTGTTGCCAACTTTGATTAGTGAACAAGAGCATTCTGCTCATACTGTGGGCAGACGTCCAAATACTCAAGAAAGTACTCAGCTAAAGGTGAGAAAAAAGCACTACATTATATGGAAGACTGGATAAAGCAGCAGAAAAGCCCATTTATGTACAGGATGTGGCTTCTAAATCTGAAATAATTTTGGATGCAAACCATTTTGAAACACTTCTGTTATGAGATGTTTGGAAAACCATATACATTACTCAAGATTCAACCAATTCCACCAAATTCCAGTACAAGAATGGGTCAATTGTTGACATTTTGAACAGGTAAGCTTGCAAGTTAATGTAAAAAAAAAAAAAAAAAAAAATCAGATATTAGTTGATACCATTCCACAGGGAACGACTGTACAGAAGACCCCAAGGCCCTTCACTCCCTTCCTAGAAAAAACAAAAAAAGAATAATTGCTTCTATAGGAACATTCACACTTCTTACAGTGGAGCTTGTTACTTCGGCTGTTCAGTGGTTCTGGTCCATTCTGGTCTTTGCTCTTTTCGTTATCTTCTATGGGTCGGAAGTGGGCTAGTGTCCTCATGAATCCACGGAAATTCACCTGGTCCTCTCTGCGTAAGCATTTCAGCAGGTCAGTTTTAGCATAGCTTATACAAGTTCTTTATTTCAGTAAACAGTATGAATGTCTAAAGCATTAACAGCATGCAGACTCTTCCACTCCCACCTCCTCCCCAGGGTTTGGCTGCCTATGCTCAAACCCAGCTCTGATACAGTGCAGTTGCAACCTGGGATCACGCTGTTGTGAAGTATGATGTGTAAAAAAAGAAGCTGTAAGAAGTCTTGTTGAGGGCTCTCCTCCCCTTGCCTGCAAGCTCTATTTAAGCTCAAGCCCTCACCCTTTGCCCTTGCCTGAGCTATCCTGCAGCTGTGCCTGAGTCTGGCAATGTATCTTGCTGATCTGGGCCCCGATTCCCTGGATTGACCTGAGACTTGCTTCACCACTGTCAACTTGTCTGGCAACCGTTGGACTGTTGGCTGATGTGACAACAGTCACTGGACTTGCTCTGCTTTTCTTGCTCAGGTGCTGTGCCCTTTGTCAGCAAGTACATCGCCCCTGCCAGCTTTGCTGTCACACTTGACTTCTGCTTGTGAGGCAGCCATCGCTCATTGCTCCCTGACAACTAGCTCTCTTCTCTAGAGTTTCTGTGGGAACCAGCTATGTAAGTACTTTCCAGGACTTCTGCTTTCTATTCAGGAAACCCTGCCTGGTATTAGCTGGTATTATGACTTGATTAGACAATCCGATCTTCATCAATCAGTAATGACAAATGTGTTCAAGAACAGCAGCAGATTCCATAGAACAATCTAGAGAGATATAATGAAGAGAGACAGTACTGCCAATTTGATCATCTCTTTGGATTTATGTTAGAAGTGCCATAAGCTATGTCTTAAGTGTGACCAAAAACTAAAACCAAACAAACAAAAAAAGCTGATCTAATAAGAAAGGTACACTTAGAGGCTAAAAGCTGAAAAACAAGACTGAATTAGTTAATTGCAATACTACTTAGCATAAAACAGTATTGCTACAAGTTTGCTTTAAGAACCAAAGTCCATACACGCCCTTGACTTTCTTTAGAAGTGTTCAGCATAGCAAGAAGAGTGGAAAACTGTGACATGATGCCTGAGTTTGTCAGTGAATAAAGCACACAAAACTCTTGTAAGGTTGTGAAGTATTTCTCATTGCAGAATGAAAACATACTGAGGAAACAATGTACCCACACACACTTCATGACAAATTTGAAGTGTTCAATTTTAGTAAATTCAAATTCTGTGCTTTAATTAAAAACTACAAATTTTGTGCCTGCTCGCAAATTCAGTCCATTGGAACTCACCCTTCTGGAAAGAAGGCATTGATAATTCTGTCTCCCAGTGGATTGATGGCAAGCTCTGGAATCCGCTGGAAGTCTTCACGGCTAAGTATAGCAAGAACACAAGAAGTCTGCATAAAGTTGAAGTCAGAGGAGAAAAAGTTGCTTAAAAAGAATTCACAGTAAAACATCCATTGGGTTCTATTTCTGCAGCAAGACACTTGGTGGTTTTTAAAATGTAACTCTTTAAATCATGTTTTCTCTATGACTAATGGCACAAAGCAAAGCAAAAGACAATGCCAAGCCTGTATTACATTACAAACTAGCAGTGTCCATTTATCATGTTAACAGCACTTCTCAGATACTAACATTGTTTTTGCTAGAAATCTTCCTGTAATGATGCCAACTAGTTTGCAATTTAAGGAAAGGAAAGCTTCTGAAATGGCTTTGAAGGAAAATATGGCTTCAAAATGAAAATGAACTTTTTCTTTTTTTTTTAAATAATAATTATTTTGGTACTGAATCATTTGAGTTGGCATGATTTTTCCAGACTACCCCATTCCAGATTCTGGGACAATACAATACCCCTCCAAACATACCACAGGTGATCTGCATATTCTAACAGATTTTCTTTTTTTTAAATGCAACAACTTTGCATCTTATTATAAATGCCAAACTTCAGATTATTTTAGCTTCAACCAAGCAGCGCCCCTATTTTAAAGTAGTAAATTTAGACTTTGGCAGGGGCCTGTACACCAGATGTAACTTCACCAGTACACTGCAAATACTCACTGCTCTTCCCAGCCATTCTCCTTTCTGCTCATGATTATATGTACACAGTATAATTTAAGCATAGCTATGCTAACATTGTTACAGCTTTTTCTGATCTGAAAGACATCACGAGCTGTACTGATGTAAACACGTTTTAGATCAGTATGACATGAACATAGGGTTCATTCTATTATTAGAGTTGCACTAATAATTTTTCTTTTCTTTCAACCTAATAGAATGTCACTGACAGGAAAGTGGGATAATCTTGGTGTGACCAAGGCAGACACACCAAGTGTGTCTTAGTGATTTACTTTGGTCAACAACTTTGTTCTGGGGTTTTTTGGGGTTTGGTTTTTTTTCCCCACTAGAACAGAGCACAGCAATTTATCAGTTAGTACAAGATGTACTCCATAATCACTTAGGTTTTAAATTGCAACGATAACAGCAATGAGGAAAGGCTGTAAAAAAAAAATCTGTTCTGTCTGGATGCATAACTTGACATTTCCTGCCCAGTCTCCAGAAACATTGGCAATTCCCCTCAAGTCAAATGCAGTCCCGCTGTTTTTGAAGTTTGGGTCAAAGTCTCAAACTTGATTACTAAATGTTTGCTACTTTTGAAACCTATGCTCACTAAATGAATCAGCAACAAGGTTTGATTCATGATGTCATTACACCAAAAAAATGGCAAAGTAAACACAAAGTTTTTGAGTACGCTTTTATAATACCATGACCTTAAAGACAGGGGAAAAAAGGAATTGGCTAACCTTATTACTAGTCTAGCCTGGGAAAGGCACAGAAGCAAGACGTTCTAGTTTTAAATGCATTCTAAAACATTCCTTGCACCCAGTCACACCACAGCACTGTTAAGAGTCCCAATTATAATATATCTGTCACAACATGGTTAAACTGTTTGACCTTCTAATAGAGCGACCTGACCATATTTTTAAGCTATCCCAGCAAAATTCTGCGCTGACCAGGTCTGAATTATTTTTAAAAGGCAATGTTAACATCCGTATAACATGACCAACTTGTTACCAGACCCTTCAGGACTGCTGCCTTTTAAGCTACAGCTGAAGGGCGAAGTATGCATTAGTGGTTTAGGCAGGAGATGCAGTGATGTGGAAAACCTATGTCCTAGTAACAAAATTTTAACAACAGGACTTCAGTATCAATGCTAACATTTACAAGCTAAAAGCAGCAACTGCCCTCTCTTCCATTTAGAGCAAAATCCTAATGCTTCAGAATTTTTTATTTGCTATCACTATTTCTTAGTATTGAGCCTCAATTTACACTCAGCATTTCAGTCTAACAGGAGATTACCAATTAACCACAAATAACTCCCCAGGTTTCAAATCTATTTGTCCTGTCATTATCAGGATTGCAGTAGACCATTTTTGCTTATTAAGAGCACATTACTGAGTGAGTGTTATAATTGAAATAGCTTTAACAGCCATAAATGAATGCATGATGTAAGTTATTCTCCACTTCATAAACTAAGGCTTCCTGCAGTCATTAGGGATCAGCTTCACCTGGCTGAGGCTGGAGCTTACAGGAAATTTTATGCCCTCTACTTCTGTGTTCATGTGCCATAGCAACAAGGCTCTGCTAACACACCTTTCCAAGAACCTGGCTTCTATTAAATCCTTGCTTAAACGTAACGTGCAGGCCAACCATTTAACATATATGCCAGTGCATTCACACTTAGACATACTTTGCAGTAAGGAATTTGTAGATTCTAAGTAAGACAGGTATTTCTAAGCATGAGTACACCCTTCAAGGCACACAGCAGATCCCTACTGTAAAGGTGGCTCTGCCTTACCCCAAAGGCTGCAAGAAACCTACTAGACCCTTTTTTCCTTCCATTATTTCTGGTTGTTCATCCTTCTTTTACTTCTAGATAGTATCAGAGAATACTGTTCCCTCAACAGGAATGAGGAGGGTAGGGCTATCTAGAGCTGAGGGAAAGTAAAACAATGGAGAGAAAACAAACCATATGTGAAACAGAAGTGGTAGAGGAAAGGAAAAAAGTCCAGAGGATATAGGCAACAAGAAATTACTTGAAAAAGGCAAATAATTAAAAGAAGTAAGGTGTATCATGCAAGATGGTCAAACAGATTTAACAGGTTACTACTGAAGAGGTTTCATTGCTCCCTTCCCTTGCTAACGTTAGCTTTGTCATTCATCAGACCTTTTGGTGGTCCAATGTATCCCACTAACCCCCCAAAAAGCTCCCCACCTTCCTCCTCTCCATCCTCCCAATTACGCTTCTGTTGAGTTAGCAACTTGAAGCAGTTCAAAAAGCTTAAAAAAAAAAAAAAATCTAACAGCACCATGGCTGACAAAGAGGTGCTGGGAGCCTGGAGAAATGATAGGGAAAGAGG